ACAGAATGGAATTCTTATCATTAGTCACAATTCTGCATATGAGTTACTCAAAATATAAATAAAATTAGGCTGAGAACAATAAATATAAGGATAGTAATAACAGTGAGTTTGTTTCAAACAGTATTGTCGATTCAGTTTGGAAATTTTAGCATGATATAGATTATTGAATCTAATGTTCTGTTGATATAGTGTGGTGACTGGAAAGACAAAATTAACAGTCATAACACAGCTTAAATGATGTTTACGCTTTTGAGAAAATCAACCAATAAAAACCAAAAATTGCGAGGATTATAAATATAAGAAGAACAATAACAAGAAAGCTTGATGTTATGAGGGTGGAGAAAATGGTTTATTTACTAGTGCAAAGAATGTTAGTTTGTTCATGCCTAATACTGTTTTGACCACATAAAGTAGTGCTAAATATGGCATATTGGAATCTTTATACTTAGATGTATGTGCATAAAGTCTTCTGAAAAGACTTCTGTTTTACCTGAGGAGGCACAATGTTGGAGCTGCGGGTAAAGTGGATGCTCACAGTCTGACAAAATTCCTTTAGCAAATTTGTTGCATGAAATCAAGTGCCTATCAATTACGATTGCAACGATATGGACCAATTGGATACCACTTACCCTACTGACAGTCTTCAGAGTTCTACGAAGTATGACATAGTCTTTTTCAAGCAATCCACGAAAGAATTAGGGTGAACAATAAAGTAGAATAGGCAAGATGCACGGGTTGACAAACCGTAAGAGGAGGGATTGAGTTATCTCTGAATGCCTTAACTCCTTAATGTAAAAAGTCAAACGAAATATTCTCTTAGAAATCGCTAAGACATGAGAAGACCATGATAGGTCAGAAGAAATAATTAATCCAAGATACTCAACTTCAGACTTGATTTCTGTATCACTATCATCAATTTTGCAACAGTCATAGGAATCAACAGCTTCATTTAACTTTCTTTTACATCGGAAACTGAAATCACCAGTCTGACATTTGGAATCATTTAGTTTAAGACCATTAGACGAAGACCATTTGCTAACTCCTGATAGAAAGCTGTTCATCTTAGTACAGTCTAGCTGGGAGTTAACGCACACTGAAATAGTTAGATCATCGGTATACTTAACAAAGTTCATTTCATCCGAGCGAGGCAAGTCATGCAAGAAGAAAGAAAACAGAAAAGGAGAAAGGACAGCGCCTTGAGGGACACCAGCCTCAGTAAGCAATGAAGTGGACGACTTCCCCTGACATACAGTGTACTGCTTTCTTCCTGAGAAACAAGAATGCAGCCATTTGACAACCCAACAGTCAGTTTGAGTTTCAGCAAGCTTGTTTAACAGAATGTCCCTAGGTACTGAGTCGAAAGCACATGTGTAATCTAGGAAGGTGCAGCGAACAAATTTAGCCCCCTTGTCTGAACTGGAGACAATGTTATGATGCAAGACTGCAGCTGCATCTGAAGTACTTCTACTATGTTTGTAGGAGAGTTGTTCGGGATCGTTAAAGGCTGTAAGCGAAGGTTCAAGATTAAGTAAGAGTAACTTTTACACAGTTTTTAGAAAAGGAGAGGTAACAGCAATAGGTCTAAATTTAAAACATGTTCCAGTAGCTGATTTAGGTATAGGTACAATTGTAATGTCCTTCCAAACGGCTGGCACGACATTTCTGGAAAAAGATTCATTAAATATGTCCATGAGAGGATAACACAGTATATCTGCACATATTTTTAAGAATAATGCTAGGCAAATCATCTGGACCCAGGCTACAAGAAGGGTTCAGCGACTGGAGACATTTTAGAACGTCATTTGTTTTGAAACCAGGGAAGCAGGTTTCTTTAACACTTGTGACACCAGAAAGTTTGGCATTTGTGGGAGAAGGTATGAAAGACTTGTTTAGTGTACACACATCAAATGAATAATGAATACTATTCATCTGCTTACCACCAGTAATTTCTTTGAAATGTTTCCATATATTAGAGGTGTTTTTACAAGATATAAACTTCTGGTCATAAATTGAATTCAACCTGTGCATTTCAGACTTGATGAGGATATTAGTTCTTTTCAAACCAATGTTATCCTTCGTTTTATATAACTTTCACTTTTCTCTGAGAAGCTTTTTAAGTTGAGGGGAGAAACGGTCAAATCTAGCGAAAAGTGTTTCTCTGGGATAACAGGTGTCAAGACAAAATTTGGGATAACATGTAATATTAGAGATACTGTCATCAAGACAGTCTTCATTAAACAAGTCCCACCTTGTATCTTTGGGTTTGCTCCTAAGATTTCGAGCATTCTCCTTAGAGTATCATCCAGGTACAATTTTCTTGGACAGCTGTGGAAAGGTTCTCTTGTGTAACTTTCCATAAATTTTCGGTAAAACCCGTACAATACAATGATCGGAGTTAAACAGTAGGGCTCTTTTACGAGCTTCATATATTCCACAGTCATTTATAAAAACAAGATCGAGCGAAGTATCCAGTCGGGTGGGAATGTCAACGACATTTTCATGACCTACCACTGTAAGAAAACTACAATCACAAGAATTATAATCGCCTGTCACTATGAACAATGAGCTACCAAAAGAGGCGGCAGCGAAAACAGTGAATTCATCAACAAACATAGATAGTCCTGAAGTACTACAACAAGGTGTGACATAAATGTTCGTGATAAAAATGAAGTTGTACTTAGACAGGTGTTTAGGTCTAACAGTAAGAATGCAAGCGTACACTCGGCTTGGTCTGTGTTGAATAATTGGCAGGTGTTAGGCAGCATTATTTCGTCCTTTAGCATTGTATTTTTAGAATCGCTTACCCACAGTCAACAATTCAAAATCGATATTTTCTGTGAACCGCATTCACGAAATCTTTGGATATACTGTTTTTGAATTTTATTTCACTTTCAGAAATGAATATGTCATTATTTCGAAATAACATTATAAATCGTTAATTATTTGTGAATGCAGAGACAGATATTTGCGCAATCTTTACGAATGTGTTTCAGTATACTTGGCGGTTCACTAATGGTAAGTTTCCCCCAGTAAAACAGCACACACACCAGTCTCATTAAGCCTCTGATTCTGTGATTAGCAGATTAGCTTGTTCAGCCTATGTATATCTTTAAAATCTCTTGCTATATTTTCAAATAAATCATATCAGTATTCTAATTCCTTTATTGATTCACCAATGAAACGCGTGAAATGACTGAAACATTTAATTGTTACATTCATTTTCCCAGAGCATTTTAAACAAAGCTGGAGGGAAGATAGTTCTAGGATGAAGGCAGCATATTTTATTTTCATACAGCCGGTTCCCTTTATTAGTTTGAATAAAGAAAGAACGAACATAGTTGCAGGCTAATACGACGAGCTCGCTTTATTTCGTGGATTCTCCTCAACTGCATACATCCTAAATGAATCAATTATATGTTACAAAATGGTATCTGAACACACTTTTTACAATGATTTCTTGTCATAGATAGGAAGCATAGGCAATATAATTTCACAGGTGATGTAAGCAGACAATTACTTAGTGTTGAAAGAGTAACTATTTGCATAGTAATTAGACCAAGGGGTGTAGTTCTGATTTCTCTTGGACACAAGGATGCACTAGAGGCGGAATACAAGATAGGACAACAGAGTTAATTTATACATATTTTGGTAGAGAATTCATGAGGGTAGGGGTGAGTAGTGAAGTAAAATTATAAAGTAGATAAAATAATTAAATTTATCAGATTTGAAACCTTAACATTTTATTTTACGGGCTACTTCAGGTGTTAACTGTCTCAGAATGATTTCAACTAGAAAGGTATTTAACGGCTTTCTACGCAGTAGTGAAACAAGAATCACAGTTAGTATTGAAATAATCGAACAGTCAGAGTTTATTGTTGATAAATGATATGCTAGAGCGTTGCAGAGTTAAAAGGAAACTAAGGGCGTTCGAATATGTGGAGACGATAGATAATTAAGTCAGCATGCAAATAATTTCACGGGGAGACCTCCTGTTGCATCACTGTTCAAAAAGTCATTAAATGAACTTCCAATTGAAATAATTTTGAAGTATATTAATTGTTTGCATTTAGTTATAATAACATATGTGATTTTAGGCAGTTCGTAGCAGTTGAAGTGAAGGTGTAAAATAAAATGAGCTTATTTACTAAATGAGGTGAAAATGCTACTGTCTCTCTAAAAGTGATGTGAATACTCACAGTTTTTCTATTAAATAAATATGAGTGTGCACAACTGGTGAATCCTGGTCGGAATTAAGATTCGCACTGTTAAAGAAATCATTAAAATTGTGGAGTTTGGAACAAATGATTGTACAGTTGTTTGTTAGATGTTAAAAATGGAAACATTGTACACAGCTTTTATTTACAACGATTCATTGTAAAATATACATAATTTCGGAGTAGATTCTAAAATACAGTGTGCTTTCCAATGCTTCGTCTTCTCACCACTCCACACTGTCTGCTTGCTTCCCTACTAACTATGCTGTATCCTATGCATCTTTCCAGGAACCTCTCATCTTTATCCGAAAACACGGTGCACAGTTTCTACAACTAGGCTAAGGAAAGGCTATTAAACTAGAACAGGCTTTGCGTGCAATTAATCATTTGAAATTCACTCATTAAAGCTATTCAAAAATAAGAGATGAAAATAGTAACGACTTACTGTCGAACTAGATAACTGCGACCAGGTGCCTGGAACTGAATGAATACTAGTTAGGTGTGTTACAATTCTCCTCCAAGAGAGCGAGAATACCATCTTTGAAAAATATCTGATTGTAGTCGATGCAGTATACTTCAGGGCTCGTTTCAAGAGCCTTTAACATTCCAGTAGTATAATTTAGACCGTCTATAAAGCGTTTTGGATTAACATTGAATCGTACTGTAATAATATACAGTATGATGTTTGAATAGATAGAAATAATTTATACGATCAAAATGAGATCTGAGGAGAAGGAAAAATCAAATATATGTATATAAACCAAAGTGTTTTATTTGCATCAACCATTAAGAGGTTTCAGGTGCACTGAACTGACTGCCTTCATCATCACTTAATAGTTCCCAGTAACCTGATGGTACATCGAAAGCTAACTGTACGCGTTCACTCGTAGCGTCAGGTTCACTATTATTATCATTATTCTTGTTGTTTCTGTTCTCTTTAGAAGTAGTACTAGAAGAGATATGTGACCTATTTTCGCCATTCTTCTGCATCTGAAATTCGATATGGCGGATTTGATAGCAACTTCCGGCCATATACGTAACCATAAAATCACTTATGTATTTTATTCAAGGAAGTAGATGAGTCGCTTAGCAGACTTGTGATGTATGCCATACGTGTCAGTACAGATTGGTGCTCTGTGCACTTAATAAACAGTTTGAGATACATTTCTCAACTCATTTCGAAGACCAATCACATTTCTGGTGTGAATAGCAGTATGTCAAACTTTTGGCCTTGCATTTGCACTACTAGAGTGGCTCAAACTGTTGGCGTAAAGGAACAGGTTAAGCGTTTGGATTCTGCTCAATGCATAAAAGACTCAAAACCGCAAGTCACTGAGTGCATATGTCATACCAGTCTTAAATAGCAACAGTAACATATTTTGCAACAGGTCAAAAGACTTCCAAAAAATTTCGATTAATTTGACTTTGAGTTGTACTGTATGCGATCCACCAAATGGCCTCCTTCATCCAAGCATCTCTACAACAGGTAAGAGAATGTCAACTAGGTTCATCTGAACTCGGAATTAATCATGATGTGCAAAATTGAACGCGTGCTTATGCACGATGAATACAACGGTAACATCAGACCACCTGTATCTTTCGTCACACCTGATACAGGTTTTGGTCACTTCGAGCTGAAAACAGTTTGTCCAACCTCATACTTCAATGGCCATTGGTATATCCCCATACTGGTAAATCGTTTTGTTCATCGGAAAGAAGTCATTCTTATAGCTATTGCTTTGCAGCTAAACTTATCTTCATAGAGAAAACGAGAACTATGCTGTCCTGTGAACTCTCACAGTATCCGAACTATAGTGTCACATCCCATTGTATTTCTCCATTTACATGTATGTGTGGATACAGGTACATAGGGAGGACTTATCGGTCTCTGCAGGTTAGGGCTTCAGAAAATATTCCAAAGTGGCTCCAACAACAAATAAAATCGCCAGATATAACTCGTCTTGGAAACAGATGTCCAGCATCACCTATAGCGAAGCACATTATAGAGACGGGTCATAAGGTTGATTTCAACAATGCCTTTAAGCCCATGTATAAAACAAGGTTGGGTTACATACTTGGATTCGTTGAAACCTTGGTCATAAAAAGACTTAAACCTATCTCACGTGTCCGAAAGTTATTTGTTATTGCTTGAGACCTGCCTTGGTAATCCAATTTCGAAGCAATGATCAATTTACATTATAATATTTTCAACCCCTCTTTTGTTTGCTTTTTCTTTTTTTCTTTCTTACCCACACCTTTGCGTCATCTCCCTACCCATCATTTGTGACCTCGAACCGTACACAATCTGACCTGTACTGTAATTATTCATGCCTTTCTGCCTTCTATAAAACTGTTTATGACAGGTACTTGTGTGATCAGAATGTCCGAAATGTGTTGCGCAAATACATTACACGTTTCAGATAAACTACGTCTTCCTATTGTGTTGTAAAAATTCATAAAGGGAACGAATTGCTTTATATTTCCGAACAGGAGACTCCCTCCTTGCACCATCAGGAAGCTAGATGATCCACAGAATATACCAACTTTCAGGTATCAAAGGTAAAAAGCCCATTGCAACTTTATTCCGAAAGTCCAGGTCCTCTGAATATAATAATCTGCTTGTTTTTGAAGTTTTGAAGTTTTTCTTTATACAACATTTCGCATTTTGTGTTAATTAGACCGTTTGTTGTTCATTGAACTGCAGCACATTTTTGTCTGAATGCATGTGTTTGTTAACTGAGAACCATTATGTGTTCAGCCATGGTATTCTAGGTGTTTGCATGCTGGATAACCTCGTATTTGAGGGTTCACTACATGTTTATCTGACACATTTTGTTTGACAGTGCAATAATTTTGCAGTTCATCAACAGTCTGTTATCAATATGTTTGGATTTAGTCGAAGACTGTGAGTACGTTTCTTCAGAGAGTTATTTGTGCAGAGGCTGTAACAGCCAAGATATACTAGAGTGATTCCTCGAAAATTCAGAAATATACGTTTGACCTCTGAACTTAATACCCCCCACCTATTCTGTTACATTGGGGAGGTATCAGTGTCAAGCTAAGACAGTCGATTACCAACTAATTTCCTTACGTTTTTCTCGAGACGCTGTAATAGATAGGGCATGGCATATGGTCTCGTGAAAACAATCGTTGGCACCATGAATTTCAGTGTGGTAATAAACGAATGTAAAGTGAGAGTTTATGGTACAGACAGTCACATAATGAGAAATAAGACAAACATTTCGCCAGGGCCTTGCATAATAAAAGTTGGGATGGTAATGACTTCTGTTCAGAAGATCTGATGGTGGGGAAAAATGAGAAGCACGCTTGTCTGTGGGACAACTCTCTACTGCTAAGTCCCCTGAGCTTTAATGACTTCTACATGAAAATTTAAAGCTGCTTGAAATACCGCGCTTAAATATAAGATCTTTTGCTTATCTCCTGTGTATTTCTTGCACTCTGATTCTTGGATTTAACTGCTCTCCCACCACTTGTTCTTACCATTATCTCAAGTAGGGAGAGATTACCATCGCTTTTCACTACCATAAATCTTGACTAATCGTGCTAACATAAGTGTCAAACATTATAAAATTCCTTGGCTTTATCTTTTGATGAAAAATCAACCCTACATTTATAAAATAATACTTTGGATTCTGAACGTCTGCTAGCTACTTCTGCATTTCTCTCGCAGTTTTCCTCCGTCTTTCCCCCTTTCCACGGATATTGCCTTGAGTCATGACATTGAGGCAGTGACCCCATCCTCAACACTAGTATAACTCGGACGCAGGAAATGGTTGGCACATCTACTAAGGATGTGAACAACCTCCGTCACGCGATCTGCCGATCATTTAGGGGGCTCGTCCCACATAAGTTTCGTTATTCTAGACTCTAGCGAACAAATAGAACGACTGTCCCAGCGCTTTATAAATGAAATTTCTCAATAAAAATTCTTTTCTGACGCAAATACTATCAGTGGCTTTACATTCCTGAATTGCGTTACATTTGCTGCATTTTGTCGGAAAATGTCTCTTGATACTGAAATCTGAGTGATGTAATGGATTAAGGGAGACATTAGGTCCAAAATTTAGACATATGTTTTCGAATTTTAATGGAATCATGCTAGTACATCTAAGCTAGTATTAGTAACCACCGGATAAAGAAAGCAATATACCATATAATCACCCGTGATGTACACATGTTCATTAAATATTTAAATATTTTATTATAGCTTGATTCCACACAGTATTTCGGTACAAGTATGAAATTTTCAGCATGTGATATCGATAGCCCAAATTTAGCAGGCCGACCATAGATATCGGGTGTCCGTCGGTGGGGGATCGAACCTCGGACCATGTGCGTGGTCGGCGAGAGTCCTAACCACTGTGCCGCCGACACACCTGTGTGTGAAAATGCCTTCTTTATGCTCAAGATTAAAATAAATTCGTTATATCATCGAGCTTTGCCCCTTCTTAGATTTACGCGCATTTACAACACTGTGTATCATCCACATCTCACATCAGTTCTTCGTGGATTTGTTCCAACATCAAGTTCACACACAACATGCTTCAACACAACTGATATACAGAACTTGGAAAACTAGTTAGCCAGATGCTTCCAATATACATAGTCACGAGAGAAACCCTATAATTCTCATACGTCAAATTCTGCGAACACCCGAAAGATGCACACAAGAGGCTATGATGACCAAAGCCTGAGCACACGTTTTGTGAGTCATTGTGATGTTCCAAAACCTCCACCATCCCTCTGTGATGCATTCTTCGGTGGATGAGGCTGGGAAAACACCCTAGGTAATCATCGCTTGAAGTGAGTATAAGTAGATGCTGATCCATTTCGCTGTAAATTGATATATCAGGAGAATTTCTTACACAAGCCCTATGCTTTTTGGTGACTCTGTGTCTATTGGCGGCTTATAAAGTACTTTCCGAGTGTGGTATGGGGCATGCGCATTAGCACCTACTGACTCAGCAGCGACTATTTGCTCCATTACGTCCTTCTCTCGCGTTCCCTTGACTGGCCTTGTGTGTTCTACTCTTCACACCTAAACTTATATCAAGGTGATGTCGTCAGAATCATTCTGCGGCCCCGTCTGTACGAGTTCACCATCACGCAATTTCCTGTTAGTGACTGAAAATTGAGTCACTCCGTAACTGTGGAAGCTGGTAGGACCTACATGCCACATAATCCATCGTCATCGTGGGAAGGTAGCACGAGTAGACCCACACCACCTCCCTTGACCGAAGGGTTCCCCGTTGGACTTGCATTCCATGGACTGCTTATACGGAGTTCCTGATCACCTGCACCTATTGATAACCACTAAGTGACTTCTCAACTGCTTTACAAGCAGTTAAATCAGACATGCCCTTCTCGCCTAAGTAGTATCGTAGGGACTTGGTGATTATCAGACATAATAAAATAATCCTCTGATGCCATTTAACCATGATCGTGGTAACAATTACGCCAGATTATAGGACAACTTTTCTGAGTTGATTAGGTTGTAGTCGTTGGCTAGTACGGAAAATGGACATATCCGAGGTCCCACAGAAGAATAGACACAAAACCTATGTCACTGGCTCACATATGCATTCTTTGCTTCCTGTAAATATTATTGTTTCATCTACTGGATGTCTCTTTTCGTCTCATCTCGTCAGTTGTCGCTTGAGTAGCAGTCTGGGAAATCAGATAGCCTTGTCTGACATTGTTCGAGTAGACAAAAGATATTCATGATCACTGCGTCTATTACTGTCTCAGCATCCATATCAAATTCGGAAAATATAACAGCTTGGATATTGCGGGTGTGATGTAGGCTGGGGAACCAGTTGGATATGCTGTCTGAACGACTCCAAACTCACTTCTGGTCGGCTTCAATTAAAAATAACGCTCATGATTTCTGTGTGACGGTCTTCTCTTCAAGACCTGAGCTTTGGCAATACCACCTTCTGAATTTTCAGCCTGACGCACTTAGCCCTATA